GCCAGCACCGGCCCCTGGCCCAACACCCCTGGCCGAGCACCCCTGGCCCCCGGCCCAACACCCCCAGCCGAGCACCGCCGGCCCCGGGCCAGCCCCCGGCCCAACACCCCCAGCCGAGCACCGCCGGCCCCGGGCCAGCACCAGCCCCCGGCCCAACACCCCCGGCCGAGCACCGCCGGCCCCGGGCCAGCGCCGGCCGAGCACCGCCGTCCCTGCACCGGCTCCCAGCCCCGCACCACTGGCCCTGCACCGGCTCCCGGCCCCGCACTCCTGGCTCCGGCCCCCGGCCGAGCACCACCGGGGCCTCCCTATTTTCCCGGACATGTCCAGCTTTTTTGGATTTCCCCCCGGACGGGGATTTGAGGCCCAAAAAGCCGGACATGTCCGGGAAAATCCGGACGTATGGTAACCCTAAATGAACCAAAAGTGGTGTGTCAGAAATTAGTTTCTGGCCCCACACGTCTTGTTTGCCAGGCATGATCTTAACACAGTCCTTGAGTTATATCGGTAGGCCTTTTTGTTTACACTAAAGCTGTTTGTCTTTCTTTTACACCTTTACCCATCAACATTTATAGTTATAGGATATTGTAACACTTTTATCCGTTGTCCCCCAGTTAGGCTTACAAATGGGGTGGGTCCTACCAGGCCCCAATCATCACTGTGGGACTCAAATGTGAACACCAGGAGTTTACCTACCCTGAGAAAATGCATCGCTTTAGAAAATGGGTTGACTAACACAATTCTAAATAGGACTTGGATGCTTTTGAAATTCTCACCCCAAGTTACTCAGTAGCACAAGTTCCACTGAAACTCAGTGAGTCTGAAGTCTCTTTGGTACTTTTGCAAATCATAGCGTTAGTACACGTCTACCCCGATATAACGTGACCCGATATAACACGAATTCGGGTATAACGTGGTAAAGCAGCGCTCCGGGGGGGTGGGGGGGCTGCGCACTCCAGCGGATCAAAGCAAGTTTGGTATAACGCGGTTTTACCTATAATGCAGTAAGATTTTTTTTTTGGCTCCTGAGAACAGCGTTGTATCGAGGTAGAGGTGTACCTCGTATAGAGACTAACAACTGTCGGAGAAAAACCGAGTTCTCACTCTTTTGTTTAGGTACAGCAAGTCAGATGCTTTATTAACTCTCACAATTGTGCAGAGGGAGAGAGCTAAGCAGGTCTCTCCCAGGTAACTAATTACAGCAAGCATTTATACCTTTCATTACAGAAATAATGAGGGACAGCTGCGTTTTGTTTATACATAGGCCATCTTGATATCTCATTTCCTCACTTGTTTTGACTCACAACATACAATATTTTCTATACCTTATCTACACAAGGTCTTCTACACCTTATCTATACCAGGTCACAATGACTTCTTACACAGTTCTTTCCCACTCGCCTCACACAATCCTCCCTTCTACAAATCTCGCGTTATCAGGGTTACAGTTAGCCTGACTCTTGCTAACGAACTGTCATGTATTGCAGTTCCTTTCTGTCAGTTCTTTCTCTGCTTCCACAACCCCCCTCCCTTTTGTACTACTAGTACAACAAACATTCTCAAATCTCTATTTGCATCAAGTCCTGGACTTCAGATTTAAATTTTATTAGAGAATATTTTAAAAAATAAACGATACAGAAAATTTGAAGCGTCAGTTATTGGTCATTGGGGGTAACATACAGAGTATAGGGGTATGTTGGTGTTTTGGGGTTGGGCAACACATAGTATATACAGCCTGCAATGTCCCCAATGAGGGGTGGGTAACCGGTGGGCGGGATCAGGAAACAGTCGATAAGCAGTGAGGGTCTATCACCCATTCGGGAAGTAGAGACAGTCATGGGTATAAGTAAGTGGGCTGGGTAATGGGGATGGGGTGACCCTCACGTGGTGGGATTCAGTTAGGTTTGGTGGGTTCAGGGCTCAGGGGATAGAGTCCAGCAGGGGGGGTCTGTGGGTGCACGAGGTCTCCCCGGCTCACTCTCGGTACTGGCGGTGGCCGGTGATGTGCTCGATGTAGATGTCCCGGGACCAACGGATAGCGTCCGAGACCATTAGGCGTCTCATGAGCCGTGCGTAATGACGGCCCACCCCACAGGTCCTCAGCACGCGTTCGTTACACGGGTCCCAGGCACCCAGGGCCCCAACGAGCAGAGCGTCGACGTGCACCTCGTAGCCCTTAGTCCGCAGGGTGTCAGCCAGGGGGGCGTATTTTTCGAGCTTGCGGGTTCGGGCTTCGCGGAAAGCCGGGGTCCTGTTCTCGAACGGAATCGTTATGTCAACCAGGATGATTTTCTTTCCAACCTCGTCCGTGACGACGATGTCTGGGCGCAGCGGGCTGTCGGTGCCGGGGACGGCGCGGTTGACAGTGAT